GCGTGACACCCATAATGTTCTCTTGCTGCTTAGTTCAAAGAAGGTGATGGGGAAAATATTTGTTCTTTGATCTCTATAAATCAAAGTATAAACTGTGTGCCAAAATAATTTAACAGCTGTGCCTTTTTTCTTAAAATTATTAGTTCTAAAAACAAAAAATATAAAAAAGAGAGAAATGTGAAAATATTATCTTAGAAACCAAACCAAATATTTGTTTTTAAAAAACTAACAACAACAAAACTATACATTATAAGCGATACATATATATTGTTTTTGTTTTTGTTTCTCTTTGTAATACCCTAAGTTTGGGAGATTTCAGTAGGAATCTTCAGAAGCCTCTGATAACAAAAACCAGAAGGGCGTTACCTGGGCATGTAAGGAACTTCTGAACACAACGGTCAGATGGGTGTGTGGGGGACAAAAACAGAAACAAAAAAGAGCATTTACACTTCAGGATAATTTTAACAAAGGTGGCCAGCAAATGCACTATTGCTGCTGATGCAAAACAGAGATGAGATTGTGAACATTTCTAAGTACAATTTTGCACATGTTTCTTTTAGGAAATTCAGTGCGAACTAGATTTTAAAAACAAAGTATAAAAATACCCCAGGATTTTCAAAATGAAGTTTTAAAACAGAGAAGATCAGACAGTTAATTATGCCGTCCTGATCACTGTCTTAAAATTCCGCACTGAAACATTGGAGTTGCCCGTGTAAAAATTATACCTTCATAATGAGTAATGCAAGAAACAATCAGAGGGTTACGGAATAAGGCCGATGCTTCTAGAAGCTGGTATAGAGCTGGAAAATAACTTTAATGTTTGTTAGAGTGCATGACAAGATCACAGAGACCATCTGTAAGAGAAGGAAAAACGAATATAATTGTCAACAGAAAGAAAAAAAGGTTAGCAGCCTGCACTCGAGTTTACCTGTGACGACTATTTCCCTCGTCATAGGTTGCTGGGACCTGGTCTTCACAACATTTTATTTCTCCATCTCTCTTTTCGCTCACATTAGCTAAGTGAAATTATCATCCCCCTAAGGCAGAGTCCTCCTGTGATACATTATTAGGCTGGTTTATAATAATGATTCCATGTGTGGACGGCAACAGCAATAGCCCGTTTGCTTCCAACTCTGCTAAGTTCGAGAAGGCACCAAAATGGACCCTGGCAAAAGAGGTCTTTGTTTAGACCCACCCTTTTTGTACTTTACCACAATACCAAACTGTCCCTCAGACTCATCCCTTCTGGGATAAAATAGGCACATCTGGGTAGAGAAATGGGGCCACACTGGAATCCTGGAATTTCCAGAATTAGGACAAGGGACTTCAAAAGGATGACAAGATAAGAGGAAACAAGGTTTTCAGGTAGAAACTGATTTAAAAGGAAAAAACAAAAACCCTTCCAGATGCCCCTTCTGTTATCTTTAACCTCTATTAGATAAGCCACGAAAAATAGAGTCTCTAAATAAATAAAATTTAAAATCTGTAGAAGAATACTCGGAATAAGGTAATTTAAAAAACTTAGTGACTCCGTGAACGTTGATCTTAGATCAAACTCAGTGGCTCAGCACTGAGTTTTCACCTTAGCTGGGGTCTTTCTAATTCTTTTTAAACAGGGCTGTTTCAGAGAAAAGTAACTCACTCTCAATGACATCTGTAGAGGTGAAAATTCACCCTGGGGTAAAGCATGCTCCTCCTGCAAGTAATTTACCTTGTGGAACCTTCAGGGCAACTCTTTAATGGCCACTGTCAAAATAACTTCTAAAGCCATACACAAAAGCTGAAAGACACTTCTGCCCCTCAGCCCGTACACTGCGATTTAATTTTACTGACAAACTGAACTTCTAAATTGTTTTCTCATTTATATTTGTCCCCAAGCATTCGTAAATGATAAGTGTATGCTTAAAGGACAATTGTTACTGATCCCACAGGAGAATCTAGATGGCTTTTCTCACCCAGTAGGTTGGATCACCCTTCTTTCCACACTGATGATTCTGAGGTACAGAGTGTGGGAAGCGGGCCTAACGGCAGCGTGGCAAAGATGTAAAATAAAAATAACTCTCTATGCAAGCAATTACTCCATGTTCGTTAATATTTCTAAATTGAATTCTAACCAGAGCAAACATCATTTTTTCACATCCTGGTAGGTATCAATGGCCAAATGCGCACTTCAAACTAACCACGTTCTCTCTGACTGAAGGAGGAGCATGCTGCTAAATCCTTTTCTATTCTGAAGAAATCTATGGGTACAGATGATATTCCAAATGAAATTATGCAGGTGTCTGAACATTACTATGAGTTCCCAAAGTCTGAAGAGCAGTTGTGCTAAATGAAGATTTCACCACCTCTTTTCAGCATTTAACCATAATAGGAACATGTTCAGCCAATAGTTGAGTTGAAAGAGTAATACTTTTTTGGTGAAATGAAAGTTGGCAAACTTACTGGATGAGAAATCAAATGATGACTCACATCTTATTCTTCCAGGTATGCCAAAAATGATAAAGTTATCTATCAAAATGCATCATAGCAAAAGTAGTGGCCACCTTTTCACACCTATTTAAAGCAAAACTCACATCCCGGGCACTTTATAATGCCTGAAGGAATGTTCTTTTACACGATGCACAACCACTTCACTTCGACATATCCAATTTTGATGTTTTAATCATCTCTATAAAAAGATACGGGAAGGGAGAATTGAGAAGCCAGTGTATTTATCACCGCACCAAAAACTTAACAACACGTATGTGCAAGCCGAGAGTCCCAAGAAGACTCACGAAAAGAGGCCATGAACTCCCATGGTGATTTAAAACGACAAACAAGGAATAAAAAAAGGACACCAGGAAAAAATAAAAATAAAAATAAATGACCTGCCAAGTTTTTGAATTCACTTATAGCCCAGCCAGAATCTTTGCCCTTTGATGAGAACTCAATTAAAAAAAAAAAAAAAAATTGTTGCTAGATCTGCTGCGAGGACCCAAATCTGTAGTAACACATGTTTTCCCTACACACACTCACACCCTCTGACAGGGATTCCCAGGACACCAGTGGGGCCTCTTTTGGGCCCCTTAAGTGTTAACAGCAGAGGCCTGGCTGCGACCAGGCATCTGGCCTGATTTAAATGCCCTGTCTTCAGAGGAGCGCGGGGAGCGCGGCCATAAAACCAGGGGACATTGCCGAACCTCAGCGTGTCTGATCCCCCCCTGGCCCCCCAGCTCACACAATTCCACTCCCACAATTAAGGCTGCTCGCTGGCATTCCAGCGAGCTGTCAAAGTCGGGCCGGTGGCGGCCGCACAGCCACAAAGAGACGCCTTAAATGAGAAGAACATGTTCCTACACCGCGTTTGAGAAAGTTTGGCTCCGAGCTATGCGCTGATTAATATCAGATCTCCTCCTTCCCTCGCCTCGCCACGAGCGTGTCACATCTGGCTGACAAATCCCGAGCCTCTCCGGCGGGGCCGGGGCCGCGGGGACACGGGCGGGCTCCCCGGCCGCAGGGAACCGACGCGGCGCTCCGATGGGGGTCGGCACGGGGCGCGTCCGGCCCGGCCCCGCCGCCCGGTCCCCGCTGTCACTGCAGGTGCCCGAGCCCACGCGGCCGGCGCCGCGCCCCGGGCTTCCCCGCGCGCGCCCCCCGCGCCGGCCCGTCTCCGCCCCGCGCTCGGGCCAAGCGGACGCCGGTCCCAGCACAGCGCGGGGCCGGGGCCGGGGCCGGGGCCGTCCCGCCGCCCGGACGCCCCTGCGCCCCCGCCTGCACCTTGCTCCGCGGTTTCACACCAAGATGCGCCCGCGGCCGGGGACCCGGGACCCCGTCACTCCGCCTGCCGGTCCCCGCGGTCCCCGCCGGCCGCCGCGCGCCTCGCGGTCCGGAGACCGGACCAGGTGGGAGCGGCCGTTCCGACCGGGCTGACGGCGGGGCGCGCCCGGGGTGAGAGCGGCGCGACGGGTCCGCACTTCCGACGCGCGACGCTGTCCCGGGCCGCGCAGGTGGCCTCGGCAGGCGGCCAGGGTGCGTCCCCGGTGCGGACGGGGCCGGGGCCGAGCGGCGCCCCGACCGCCCCGCGCGCCCCGCGCCCCGCTTACCTCCGCCATCCTGCGGCCGCCGCGGAGCCCGGCTCCCCCGCGTGTCCCCGGCCCGCGTCCGCCCCGGCTCGGCGGGCGGCGCCGCATCCAAGCTCCGGCCGTCGGGGCGACGCGGCGAAGTGGGCGGCTCCCCGCACGCCCGCCCCCTGCGCCCGGGTGGGGGCCTCCTCCCCGCGCGGTCCCCTCCCCGCCCCTCCCCCGCCGGCCGCCCGTCCCCCGCCCGGGAAGCCAGCCGCCCGCCGGGCCGCCCGCGGACGCACTGGGCCCGCGGAGCCCTCGCCGGCGGCCGGCGCGGAGGTGTCTGCCCCGCCGGGCTTGAAGGCACTTGTCGGGAGACACAGACGTGTCCGCGTCTGCCTCCCCGGGAGGCCAAACGCTCTGAAGTTCGCTGGCTCCCGTCTCGCCCGGCGCGGCCGCCGCCTGTCTCCCCGGGGCGCCCTCGGGGTCCCCCGCGCGCGCCACCAGGAGCTTCTTTCCAGGGGCCGCGTGGGGGCCGTCCCCGAGGGGGACACGGGGCGCCAGAGGCTTTGCTGAGAACCTACGCCAGCCCCTTCCCTGCTGGTCGCCCGGAGTTCCAGCCCCAGCTGTCCCGCGTTCCCGGGGCAAGGGGCTTGCTCTCTCCACCTCGCTTGTTTAGGTTGCAAATGGGATCCAATTTTCACCTCTCTTATTGGGTGCCAAGAATGAAATGAAACTACATGTCCTGAAGCACCAAACCGGAGCGGAGCCCCGCGAGCCCATGGGGAGGAGGGCGGCTTCCTTGACCCCTGGGAGCTGACAGAGATGGGCCGCAGCTGCCAGCACTCCCCGGGCGGGCGGCAGACGCACAACCTCGGGAGAACGCGGTTCCCTAAAGGGATTCTCTTTGAAGGCTGGGGGTTCCTGCTGCCACCTCCCCGATTTATTGCACCCACCCACCTTGCTGCTGGTGGACATCGTTGGCTGAGAAACAGCAGCCTTCTGCAGTCTGAGGGTGCAGGGGGGGCATGGGCGATGGAAGGAAAAAGGACTTGCAATCAGACAGACAGGGCGCCTGATTCTGGCTCTGAAAGGTGCAGGCCTCTGAGAGGAAGAGGAGGGAAAGGAGAGAAGAGGGTGCACGTGGAAGAGTGTGGCTATATGGGGGGGTGCTTCATGGGGTCCAGAGAACCCTGCTGCTTCTCCACAGGCAGGACACATGAAGGGCATTGAGGCCAGGTGACTGCCCTGGGTCAGCAGTGCCTGCCATGCCCTGTCTGGCAGGCATGAGATTGCCTGGCCTTATGCAATGGACTCTGCCCTCCCTTACAAGTGTCGGGAAGAGTTGTTGTTGTTTTCACATGGCTACCGTAGTTCTGTGGCTTTGCTTTGTGAATTCCAGACCCCAACTCCTTACCTTCCATTTAGCTAGTGCCAACCCCCTTTATTCCTCCGCTTTTCTCTGCCTGTTGTAACACAATACATCCTTCAAAGCTTTTCTCAAATGTCCCCCTTCCCAGAAGCCTTCCCTGACACCCCCCACCCACTCTCCACTCCAAGTGTTTTTGCCCTCTTCTGACCCCCATGCACTTGTATCTGCTTTTCTTGTGGTGCGTATTGCGTTCTCTAGTCTAGTTCCAGTGTGTCCTTGTCTTAAGTTCTTTGATCACCACTCATCTTAGTGGCTTCTGGGCTACGAGTTGTGAGGAAGTCAGCTTTCTTGGCCTTACTGTCCTCATCTTTAAAAGTAGGTATGAAACTGTCCTTGGACAGTTTGGTAGGGCTAAATAAGACAGTCTCTGTTCTTCAGACACTGCTGTCGTCCCTTTCTGCTGCACATAAAACTGGTTTTGGATTAATTTAAATTTGTTACCAGAAGAGTTCTTGGTCACAGTATTATTGAATGGCCATACTATGCTTATTATACATACACCAAAATGTCTAAGTCCCAGGCAAATGCCCACATAAATACCTTGAATCTGTCCTATCGAAGGTTTTGGTCAGTAGCTTTGTGGTTGTTGCAAGTGAATTGTATTTGTTTTAGTAAAACTTTCCATCAGCCGCAAATATGAGGGTCAACCTGTTTAACTCTATTCCTGGTTACAAATACAAAGAAGATTTTGGCAATACATAATTTAAAAACATGAAAACAGGCTGCCTCTCCCAACACACTCTATTGGGATCGGCCTTTCTTCAAATATGACAGTTTTGACCCCCCTAGAGGGAATCAGTAGGTTTAGATGAAAACTACTAAATTAATCTTCTGCAGGTTCATTCAGAATTAGGTACCTGATATTACTAAAGTCCGTCCTTGCATTTCTTCCCAGATCTGATGGACTTCTCTGTCACTCCTTGGAAACATATAAGCAGAAAATGGGACAGAGAAACCACCCCTGAGTGTAGAAAGGAAGGTGCTGCTAGCTGGGTACAGACCATCCAGAACACGCTCCTGTTCTCCTGCTGGTCAGTGATGGGACCTGGGCATGACTTGTCCCTTCTCCAGGCCTCAGTTTCTTCATCTGGCCAATGGGGGCATCCCCGAGTGCTACCTGCTCTTATAGTCCACACTTCCCGCTTCTGTGCTTCAGCCTTGCTACGTTCCTTTTGTGTCACGTTCCTCATTTAGAATGTCTCCTCTAACTTTACGATACCAAGGATTTAAAAAACAAATCTTTATTAAAAAGGGGAAAAGTTGAGACGACAAAAAAATCAGAAAATCACCGTGACCTGTTCTTACGGAGGCAGGCAGCAGCTCATCTGAAATGAGAGGCTTGCTTGGATTGCGCTGTCCCTGAGAGAGGCCTTTCCCGGAGCAGGTGTGCTGTGAGTGCCCATCCTGAGAACCACGCATGTGCCAAGGAGCTGGGGAGGTGGAGGCTGTGTGAGCTGAAGGCCAGTGCCTGCCTGAAGTGGGTAGTTGTTACTCTGCTTGTCATTGGCCAGGAATGTGGGCTCAGTTTTGCCAGATTTCCTGAGTTTTTGAGAGAAGCGAGAAATATTCTGATCCTTGGCAACTAATTCAAATTTTTGATAAATATGGTGTGAGTCAAAGTATGTTTGCAGGCTGAATCTGCTAATAAATAGTGATGTCTTCTTGAGGCCTGAGCTTGTAGTGTATAGTAGGTGTGCAGTAAATATGTATAGAATGAATATTACTCCTGATGGAGAATGGTCCACAGCCCGCCTGAGCTTTCAAATGAATTTACCGAATACTCACAGAGATGTAAATTACAGCATAGGGAATATAGTCAATAATATCATAATAACTATGAATGGGGCCTGGTGGGTACTTAAAATATTGGGGGGACCAATTTCTAAAGTCTATGATTGTCTAACCACTAAGCTGTACATCTGAAACTAATACAGAATAATATTGAATGTCAGCTGCAATTGAAACATTTTTTAAATTTAAAAAATAAACAAAATGAATCCTCCAAAACCACACAGAAATTAGTAACAACCTTTCTGTGTTGGCTTCAGAGTCCACTAAGGGGCTGGTAAATTTTTCCAGTATTCACACCCTGATAAGACTCCCTGGAGTTGTTAATAATTCTGGTAAATACAAAAGAGCCTCTCTTTGGGAAACTAACTCTCACAAGAAATTTTTCCCCAGTGAGGACAGATGAGCTTGAAAATATTTTAAATCATGGGATCATTGTAATAAAAAGAAAAAAAAATACCTTTAGCTATAGAGGTTTGGGCACTAATGATGGGAATGGCAAATTACAGCAGGGCAGGTGGGTAGTTGCCTCCCACCTGAAATCAGTGGCCTGGAGGAGGAGCCAGCCCTGGGGCTGTTGGCAAGAAGACCGAGTGAGATCCAGTGGGGCAGGGCTTTTGACGTGACAGGGTGGGTAGAGAGCTGCTGCTCTGTCACCGGCCTTCTGAGGTGGCCTCGCCTGAGTCCTTACATTCCTCTGAGGACAGTGTCTGGACACACCAGGAGACAAGAGTCACATTTGCTCCGTCACCTCCCAGCTCAGACACAGACACCTGGTGGTGGCAGGTCTGGGCACATCTGCAGCTCAGCTAGGCATCGGAGCCTGACTAAGCAGCATTTGGGCCAAGTTGCACCCCCCACACACACACAGCTGCCTGCTGGGGGGCCGCCGGCCTGCCACAGACCTGGCCCAGGTGTCCCAGTTCCTTCCCTTTCGCCCCAGGGCTGTTCCCTATTAGGAGAGAGAGCAGATGAGGCCATTCCAAAGGCAGCACAGGGCTTTGGTGGCAGAAAACTGTTCCTGTCCCTCCACCTTTCACACAGGGCCAGGTGTTGAAGGGACCAAAATGCCTGCAGCTCCTGCTACACGGAGGGGAATGAATGTACTGTGGCTCGCATTTTGGGTTTTGGCAGCCAAGATTGCCAAAATCAAGGAGGGGATGTCTGAGGAAGAGTGACTGGTACAGTTGTGAATTGCAAACTGAAAACAAGCCCCAGGCCTGATTCTGACCGTGCCTGCCAGTGGTGTAGTGTGTGAGCTTCAGGGAGAGGTGCCCGCTACACTCAGGAAAGAATACCTAGTTTCAACGTGGACAAGGTGGTTCTTTCGAACGTAATGCCTGGAGAAAAGGTTGCAGGTTTGGCTACCACTGTTTTGATATGTCTGAGGTGTGTGAAGTTAGGCTGTCATTTAATCTGTCCTCTATGGCTTTAAACAATCAACTACAGTGACTGTTTAAATTAGGCTGTGCCATGCTTTCCTAACAGCTCATTCTCTCGTCACCAAGGCAGTGGGAGGAACCTACAGGTGGACGCCTCCCTGGACACTGGATTTAATACTGCGTTTTGTCCCTGAGCTCAAGGAGCCATATTTCTAATTAAAGTAGAAGGAATATTTAGTTCTTGAGACTCTCTCAGACTGGCACTTTGCATATTGAGTTGATGAATTTGGGGTAAGTTCTGTGAGGAAAGGACAGGCTCTGCTTTGATAAGTTTTTGTGAGGCTGCTGAACATGCATTCGAAGAAAACTTTTAAGACTCGTTATATGTTGGAACATGGCGTCTTCTGCAAGTGGAATGATCCATTACCCAAGCTGAAGGAGGAAATATTTGGGTTAATATAACTGAGAATTCTACATGAGATCATATTGCTTTTGGAATTTGGAAAGAAAAAGTTAGGGAAGATAGGATCTAGGATGAGTTTTAAATCGTTCTGAGCCCGGCTGGTGTGGGTCAGTGGATCGAGTGTCCTCCCAGGGACTGAGAGGTCCTGGTTCAATTCCCAGTCAGAGCACACGCCCAGGTTGCAGGCTTATATCCCATTGCACGCGCAGGAGGCAGCCGATCAATGCTTCTCTCTCACATCGATGTTTCTATCTCTCTCTCTACAAAAAAAAAAAAAATCAATAAAACATATTTAAAAAATCGTTCTCAGTTATGGATAAGGAGGGCCATGAAAACAACACCTTGAAGCTACCCACTTAAAAAAAAGTAAAACCATCTTTAACCAGCTGACTTAGCAAATGTAAAGGAAATCGCTGGTTCTTCACAGAGCATCTCTGATATTGAATAAAAAGAAATTCGTAATCCAGCGTTTGTGAATCTAGAAGGGTTGTAGCAGACACTGTGCCGAGATTGCGTCCTCAAGTTCCAACGCAGCCCTTCCCCAGCATGTTGCTGCCATGTCCTCTGGGTAGGCACCCAACTCCAGTCCCACAGGGGATTGGTTTAGGTAACCTGGGCTGACACCAATCAGCACCAAGGTTATTCTCGTGGCTGCAGGGATTGGTTCCAGGGTGGTCCAATCAGCAAAAAGGTCAGGACTTTTGTTTGACTTCTCAGAAGGATGGTTATGAAAAGTTTAGTTCTTTTCCCACAGTTGTGAAGAAGGGAACATGTGATCCCTGTTATCGCTGGCAGCTATCTTGTTCATAATAAAGAAACTCAGAAGGGAACAGAACTGATGCGTGAGGGTGGTTCGAGTTGAGAGAATTGTAATTCAGCTGAGGCTCTGAAAACCATGCCTGAAGCCTTTGAGCTTTTTAGATTTGTAAACAAATCACTTTTATTATTTATACCAACATGAGATT